CGTACTTTAGCTGTTGTAAGGTGATGATATGCCATACAGATTTTGGCACTGTGCGCTGTTAAGATCTAGAAGAGAAGTGCCTAATAGTGTGATGTTGATTCTCTTCTGCCATGGTGCTTGCCTTAACTTCAGAAATACTGGCACTGTCATTGCACATAGGATTCTATGAAAACTTTCATCAGAGTTTAATACTCTCCTTGAGGTTAAGTAGACCATTTATTATCTCCATGTCTTGGTCATGCTCCTTCATAAGATGTTTTTTAATGTCACTGGAACTCTTTTAAAGATTCATGTGCAACAGGACCTGCGCAGCAGTTTCTATTCCTCTGGTTATTACTAGGCTCTGCATTTGCAAGAGGGCTCTGGGCATAAAATATATAAATAAAAGTGGAGGCACCAAGAGCTAGGGTTTTCCTCTGTTGTGCATAATTCTGTCATCCTTTGCTCACGTGTCCACCTCAGTTACTTGAATATCAGTGTGATAAAGGTACTTCCTCATGGCATACTTTAGGTTTCTGCAGTAAGAATACTTCAAATAATTGTCCATCTGTAATGTGCTGAGAAAGCTGATGGCATTTGAGCTATGAAAACCAGTGTCCTCCAGAACTTGTCTATGGTATTGATAGGAGTGTGATTGTGTTTTGTGATGATGCCAATAGTGCTGTTCTGCTGATTTTAAGTGGATTTTGTTGGCATCATTCTTTACTGTATTGGGTGGGGAATTCTAACCTTGAACCAAGTTTTAACTACTGTTCTATATGGTGGTGAAGCAGGGGCATGTAGCTTAGGAAATCTTTATATGACTTGGCTGACTGTGCAGATGTCACCTTGCATTCTGTTGGTGAGTGATTCTGTAGTGAGACTCGAAGAAGAACATGACTTGCTGTAGTTGCTAAGGAAATGTCCACTGATTTGTGTAGCATTTGGTGTTATTTTAAAATGTGTTGATATTTTAATTCTATTTTTAAAAAAATGTATCGGAGCCTCGCTTAGATGAAAAATCAGGTAGCTCCATCTCAAAAAAACCCTCACTGGGTTTTGAAAACCTGTCTTAAGGAGAAACCTCTTCCTGAGTAGTTTTATGCAGATATCAGGAGAGTTCATAGCTATAATGGTGCAAACTCAGTGTAAGACAGCCAGTCTGGAGGCACGAGCACAGAATCATCTTGAATACTGGTTGTTGGCATATTCCTGTGAGGCATCCTCAAAGTCTGCACTGATAGCTTTCAGCATTTTGCCAGTTTAGACTCCAGAACAAAGAAGCATAAATGAGTGTCTGTAGTATGTTAATAGAGCATGTTTGGTAACCTCTGCTTTTATGTGCCTCAGGATGACGTGTTAAGTTAGACATTTGTAATACTGCCTGGAGAGCTTAAGCTCAAGTGGTTCCTCACAGGCATGTGCTGGTGATGCTAATGAACAAACACACCAGCTGGTGGAACCTCGAACAGCTGCAGAGCTGTGTGCAGTGCAGGACTATGTGGATTTCTACCATCATTAACCCATTAATATTGCAGGTATTCCCTGTTGAGTGCTTCTGGAAATTGTGCTGAAATGGGAGCACCCAAGTTTACTTTCTCACATCTGTCGTATGCTGCCTCATCTTAAACTGCCAAACATCAATATCTTCTGCGGATCTTAGACTGTTGCACAACTCTATAAAAGTTTAGAGAAGAATGTGCTGCTGTGTAGATTTCAGACTCTAAGCACGTTATGAATAATACTGTCTTTATTTCTACAGTGGGAGCCAAGAAGAAAGGTTTGCTCCCGGGTGGAACAGGGAATATCCTCCTTCTCTTGATAGTCTTGCTCAAGAAAGACACTCTGGCAACTTCTCTGGCAGAGAATCACTTCCTTTTGATATCCAGGCACTCACAGGCCTCCTCAATCCTCAGTTTGCCAACAGAGAGGAATCTTCTTTCAGCTTTGGAGCTAGAGATGGACCACGTAGTGACTTCAGAGGTGGGGAGGGGCACCATGATTTTAGGGGCAGAGATTTCCCCCCATCTGACTTCCAGGGCAGAGATGAGTCTCAGATGGATTTCAGAGGTAGGGAGCCACCCTGTTCTGAGTATAGGGGCAGGGATATGTACTCTGGAGACTTCCGGGAGAGAGAAGGGCCACCTATGGACTTCAGAGGTGGGGACGTTCCTTCAGTGGACTACAGGAACAGAGAGACCTTCCGTATGAACTACAGGGATAGGGAAGCACATAATATGGATTACAGGGGCAGAGATGAACCTCCATCAGACTTCAGGGGAAGGGGGTCTTTTGATCTAGACTTCAGAGGTCGAGATGGATCTCATTCAGACTTTAGGGCAAGAGATGTGCCTGAGTTAGACTACAGGGGCAGAGAGCATTCCTATCCAGACTTCAGAAATAGGGATGTACCTGATTTGGACTTCAGGGGTGTGGGCACCTCTGATTTGGACTTCAGAAACAGAAATGCACCATCGTCAGACTTCAGAAATAGGCACAGGTCCCGGTCTGATCAGGATTTTAGGAGCAGAGATGTGGCTCCTCCTATGGACTTTTCAGACAGGGAAATGCCTCCCGTGGATCAAAGCCTTGTAGATTTTAGGCACAACCAATCTACTGTACCTTTAGCAGAAAGAGAGGGCTCTGGTTTAAACACCAGCAAGAGAGAGGAGTCTGCACTTGGCCTAGATAGAACTCCCTTTGGTAGCCAAAAAGGAGAATTTCAACATTCAGAAGCACCACCCAGAGAAGAGGAATCCCTCGGATTGGGCCTTGAAGATGACACTTCACACAATTTCCAAAATAGCAGTGGACCTCTTCCTACTCTTCAGGACCAAGAGGAGCAACCTCAGACCTTTGCTAACAAGCAGCAACAGCAGCAGCTTTCTGGGGGGGAGCAGCAGAGATCCGATTCTGATCTTGGGTTAAAGGGTGAAGGTGGCCTGGACTTCCTTGGAAGGCAAGATACTGACTACCGAAACATTGAGTATCGCGATGTGGATCACCGGCTGCCAGGGCATCAGATGTTTGATTATGAACATGGCAAGTCCTTTTCAGAAGGAAAACCCAGCAAAGATTCTAGGCCCTATAAGAGCCTTCAGGTAGGTGGTTTTTGTCAGTTGATGTTTCTATTAAATACGTGTTAGTCAAAGAATGGAAGGAGCTGGGAAGGAGTCTTCTGTTCATGTCCCACCACTTCAGTTCTATCCTAATTCACTGTCCTTCTCTGAGATCATGCTCATGCTCTTGATTGTTTTGGTGGGCACCCTTTCTAACTCAGAAATACTTTATTCTCAAGAGAAATGCAATTTACACTTGGGAATTGCTAAATATGTAGACCAAATTTGGTTCAGAAAGTCCCCAAGTTGACAATGACCAGGCAGAGGGAGGGTGTGGGGGAGGAAGTAGTGTATAGAAGAACTTACTTTGGCTTTTTCTCCTGGACATTGCTGATGAGCACTAACCAGAGAGAAGCTTTTGGCTTGGGTGGACTTGTGTAGAACAGTACAGCTGTTTTCATGCATGCTTTGTTTTCCTTCAGACTTAACTTTCAAATCTGAAGAAAATACTAACTACTGCATTACTAACTACTATTGAGTTTGAATCTCCCACTGATGGAAATCAGAGAGAGGTGGTTTGCCTGTTTTATTTTCCTGGTCTTAGATCTCATTGTACAGCTCAGTGAGCATATGAAGCTAGCAATACTAGTCCTCCAGAACACTCTTAAATGGTGGTGTGGTTAAAGATTTGAGCCAGTCTGCTGATGGGCCTTTGCCTTTGAATTACTTTGTTACTGTTTGTGTATCTTGTGAGATCGCATCTCTCATTTGTAAACACTATCTTGATTGTGTGAACTCAAGGACCAAGATTACCGGACCTGTCCCAAATATGTGAAGCCCAGCAAGCTCATTCGGCTAGGAGGAGTGCCTGAAACTGCCACAAAGGATGATGTAAGTGGGAGGTTTTTAATCCAAAAACTTCTATCAAGGATTTCTAAAAGTACTATTTTTAAGCCTGGTTAATGTAGTTCTGATGATGTGTCATTTTTGCCGGGGAAAATCCAGATTTAGAAGTCTTGCAATGTTATCTTCTCTCTGATTGCTCTGGGTTTTGGGGAATCTGGAAGTGATAAGTTTTCTGCAGTCGCATGTAGGGTGTTGGTGGCTAAAAGCCTTGACTCTGGACTCTTTTTAACATGCCTTACTTCCATCATTGCTTTATATATACCAAATACTGTTATTACTTTGTTGTTATATTTTGGGCTCAGAATATGAGCAGTATTTAAGTGAACTTGTTCATTCTTCGTTACTTGAAATTGCTTGTGAGATCTTATAAAGATGGAAAAGATGTCTGCTGCAACTGCTAATTTTAGTAAAAAGTGAAAAAATGATCTAGGCTACAAGAGGAAAGAAGCTCCTCTTCCAAAAGCTTCTACTTTCAATTGGGATTTTTTTTTTGTTGTTGGCAGTTTCAGACATGGGAGCCCGTACATGCAGCAGTTTTTGCTAGGGTTAGCTGCGATGATCAGAGCTTCTGAGGCTTGTTACTGGATGACTCAGGGCAGAAACTTTGTCCGTCAGAGGGTGATAAGACTTGGAACAATCACCCCATGTCCCTTGATTTTCTTAAAGGCAATAAGATATCTATGGCCTTAAATAAGGGTCATAGGTGAACTGCTGTCTGAAACCAGTGTAATAAACCTTTGCACAGTTGAATTGTGGTGTAAATGTATCTCTTACTTAAACAAAACCCAAAAATACTTCCCAAAAATAAACAGTTCTCAGGTACTGTTGGAACTCAATCAGGAAAATGTGTCAGTTTGTAACAGAGTTAACCTAGAAAGAAAAGAATTCTCGGGGAGAACAAAATGTACCATAGGAAGCACTTCACTTTCTGAGGTTTGATTTTGGAAATTGAAGTGGATCTTGGTTTTCCTATAGATTCTCAATGCTTTCCGAGGGCCTGATGGGACACCCGTGAAGGACTTGCGACTCAAAGATTACAGTTCAGGTGAGAATGCTTTTCCGGTGCTTCTAGTTTCAAGTTTACAAAAGGGTATTTTTCACACTGATACTCACTTAGGCAGTTTTGTTTAAAGTAATTGGTGACATAATTGCAGGTATTTTTGAATGAAAATGCCCACTGAGTTTTATAGTTTGTCCTCTTGTCTTCAAAACCGATGGCTGTGCTCACTGCTACTTCAGAGGTGACACGTGTTCTGGTGCCTCTAGAAAGATGTAGGAGCAGCAGGAAAAACAGTAAGGCTGTTCTAATAGCCATCAAATGTAAAGCCAATACTGACATGGGACAGCAGGTTAATTCCTCAATAGATTTTAAAAAAAAATTATTATTAAATCCATTTGGATTGGTCTACATCTTGTTTCTGAGCTGGTTTTACTGTGGAACATGTCCTGCACAGTGTCCTAAGGGAAACCTAATACATCCTAACATTTTTCCTTCAGTAACATGAAACTCTCACCCTTCTTAGACTTGAAGACAGGTTAAAAAAGGATAAAGTAAGTTTTATAAGAAAATATCCAAATATTGGATATGAATTGGATATGAATGCTCTTCCTTATTCAAAGAATAAAGTTTTGCTGTACTTCTGATCAGTACGTATAGGATTCTGAAGAAAGAAATATTTTACAAGGCTGCTTTGTGAGAAAGTTGTACTGGAACAAAGATGTGCAATGGTAGGAAATGCAGGGTGAGTCCTGGGAATTGGTTTGGATAATACTGGTAGGAAATACCTGGAAACTGGTATTTTTTTATTATAAACCTAGGAAAGCAGAGGCTTCTACTTTCATCAGTGCCTTTTCTCATTACCATATGGGTTGCATGTAAAGTATCTGGAATTCTTGGTGTCGATACATTATATAAAGGCTTCCTATGTAGTTGCTGGGGAGAGAAACTGGGGCAGTTGGGTATTTCTCAAGTATATTTTTGTTTCTGGAAGCTGTCAAAGGAGATTTCACAACCTTCTCTTGAACCTTTGAACTAAAGAACACCCATGTGTCACGTAATCTGGTCTGGCCCAACAAGCAGGGTTTAAGGGGCACAGTCAGTCCTTGCTTCCTCTCCTCTTCTCTAAGCATAGTACAGCATGGTTGTCGTCACCTGCACAACACTGACTGCAACCCAGTAATTGCAACATACTCTGTATTTGCCTGTGCTGATGTGATTTGTCAGGCTTTTTTCTGAAACACATCACTTTTCAGTAATAAAGCAATTTGAACTGGGAATCGCTTTGTAAGTCTCCTCTTGTGTGTGTTACTGGACTTACTGCACTCCTTAGAGAACTGTTGTCTCCTTCCCATTCCCCATTTCAAAGGCTACTCAGGATGAGACACAGTGTCTGGAGTTACGTGCAGAATCCCTGGTATCTGTTGGTGGTCACATGTAATATGAGGGTTGCAGTTTTCTGTTGTCTCTCTAAAAGCTGGGTTCTGTTTCAGTCTGTCTCCTCAGCTGCAAAGTTGTTTTTTTAAGTTTTTCTGGCAATTGCGGGGAGGGAAAGAATAAAGTTAAAATTAGCTCATATTTTACGAGCTATTTAAAGCTGTTGTTTAACCCTGTCCAGTCAACATCAGTAATTTAGTATAGCATTATTCTAGGTTATGTGGATGCTCCAAAGACTTTGTTTTGCAGTATGTCCTGAAGCTGCAAATGCAGCTGCTAATTTAAATAGCTTTCTGATCCTTCTTACACAAGATGGGTATGTCTGGGACAATAAAAGCTTCCTGAATTATGAAAACTTCTTGAAATTGGGTAACTAGAAGCTGTAGTAAATTTAATCCAGCTTTTTACATTAGGTCATCCTGTAGAGAAGTGTGTGAAATTGCACTCACATTAACTTCTGAAAAGCTAAGTGTGTTTAATACTAGAGGCCAGTGATGGGCCAAACAATGCTTTCAGTGGTGTGTGTATGTAAATATTCATAAGAATTAAAAGCAAACTTTCTGGATTACTAATGTCTCTGGATACACCTGGGCTCACGGGCTGCGTTGTTGTACTGGCTCAATGGGATGACGGCAGCCTGGCTCAGAAGAGCGTATGCGAAGCCTGTCTGAGTGGGTTGTGTATTCTTTGAGTGCTGTCCAGAAATGTTAAAAATAACATTAATCATGAGTATGCATGTTGGGTGTATTTGAGAGAAGAATGCCTGCAGCTGTTGGAGAACAATAACAGCCATAACAAATAACACGCAATTAACTCAAAATAAGTGAAGTTCGGATCAGTTTCACAAAAAGATAATGCTTATCATAAAGCTTACCTCAGCAGCTTCAACATGATGATTCCACTGTATGATCTTTCACAAAACTCTGTTTTGGAAGAAAACGTATGGTTGATTTTTCTTGGGAAAAGCAGCTCAACTTCTTTATAAAGCCATTGCTTTTTGCATGCTGTGTATGTACTAAGGGAAGAGTATTTTCACTGAAGGTTGTGCTGAACATGGAACACTGTTCTTAATATATCTTATGTGATTTTGGTACACATTCAAGCTGTTTATTCCTTAGATTATTTTGTCTCTGAAGCCCACAGACTGAAATTGTAGCTAGATTTAAAACAAGGTAGTACAAGGAGAGACCTTAAGAAGTGGCATAGTAATTCTATTTAAATCAAAAAGGCAGCTATTTACAGACAGTGATAAAATGTCAGTCAGACTTTATAGTATTACCCTACACAACATTAACTTGTTATTTCCATCAGTTAGATTTTTGAATTGATGCCTGTATGTTCAGACATCAGATCCATTTGTGAGGGGAGGAGGACTTCTTCCAATTTAATGTGTAAGCTTTGGCAGAAATAACTGTATTAGATTGTTGGCTTATCTTTCAGCTTGCCTTTTCAAGTGTGTTTGGTCATGTCTGTTCGATTAATCATTACAAAGTATAAATCCTGAGGTGATTGAGGAGTCTTCTGAAACACCACCAGCTGCTTTAGTCTGCAGTATCTCCCGGTGGCTCTTGCTGCCTTGTGCAGAGGCAGTGCTGTGGCTATACTGCTGTTTGGGTAGATACTAGCTGTGGTGACTTGTCAGGAGCTTTCTGACAAGGGATTGTCAGTAATGGCTTGTGAGCTCCCCCTGTCCCACCTGAAGGTACTTGTCTCTGCTCACTGGGGTCAAGGCTTGCATGTGGCTTTACCGGGTGGGCCTCCCTCTGTGGAGCTACGAGTGCAGCATGTAACAGCACCAGGCTACTTGGGGCACGGTGTCTGTCATTCTCCTGTTACTGTCTGTGCACTTGTGTTGGTGCTGGCTGCCAGGAATGTGAAACCAATACCTTTTGACCACTGAGGACTCTTAACAGGAGCACACCTTGTCCTGACTTTGATTTTAATCAGATTTTAAACTTATCTCCTGCCTGATTCTCATCAAGCTTTATTTCTACTCACCTGACTAATGTCAAATATAAGCAAAGTCTGAGATATCATCTTGAGTGTTTGATGTGCACAGAACTCGTTGGCTAAACACACATGTATGCCCTTGAGAAGAAAACACACAGAACTGTCTTTATCTTAAAAGTCTGCTTATCATGAGTTGTTCACTCCTAAAAGATGCTGCAGTGGTGTCCAAGTAATAAGTGAAAATGTGAAGCATACTGAACTTTCTGTTCAGATTGTTCTGGATGCAGTCTGTGGTGGGACAAGCTTGGAACGTGTGTTTTCCAACCAGGATTCATGTTAGGCTTAGTACCAGCAGTTGGGAAAAGCTGTTCAGGGAAAGCGAGCTTGACAAATTGCTGGCAGCCCATGAGGCTTTTCTAGCTTACTCTACAAGTCCATCTGGGGGACCAAGAGGAGTTTTTGCCGAGCTGGGAGAGCCTGGTGGAGAGTGGACACGCTGACCGAGATGGAGAGCAGCAGGTGCAGAGAGGAGCTCTGTGAAGTGGACCTGGAAGGGACCAGGTGAGATGTATTGCAATCAGAAGGAGCAGTGAGGTCTACCCCAGCCCCTTTATGTACCCTCTAAATTAGTGCAGCACTTCAGAAATTGGGAGATTTGGGTTTGTTAACCCTCTTCTGACCGTTCTGAATACTCACTTTTGAACCCTGAGTGGGGATGCAGGAGCACAATGCTGCACCCCTGAGGAGCAAAGCACCCATGGAAATGGGGTGATTGGAGCAGGGAGGAGCTCTCTGAACAGCAGTAATGCTTGAGGCCCAAGGGATTTCTACATGGGCACAGGTGGCTGATGCTAAAGGGCAGGCATCCTCCTGTGGTGGAGGTACATGCAGGAAATGTAGTGTAACCTGAAAATGTGCCTAACCTGGCAGCTACTTAATGGTAGCTGCCTGCTCCATTTTGAAAAGCTTTTGTTTTAGCAAGTATTACTGGCACTAAGCATACTTTATTGCTTGCTTAACCACCTTCTTGCACTAGCATTTATTTTGTTTCATTTGTCCAGACCTGGCCCTTATGTGGTGCTTGGAACAGCCCCCCTTATCCCTCCCTTTGTTAAACTGCCTTGGCCAAGTCCTAGAAGAAACTGGATTATCTTGCTTGTTCTCACTAATCTCTACCACATTGGTGCCCTGTTAAATATTAATAAGGCCCTTAGATAAACCTTAAAATGCTGCCTTTTTTTCCCTCCAAGTGCAGTCTATCTTGTATACCAGACAGTGAATTGGTGGTTTCAGGAATATTTCAGGAAGCCTCTGAAATTTAAAATTGTATTCTTCAGTGTTGTTTTTTAATAAAACTCATAATCTAATGTCCAGAAGTTTACACTTTGTGATAGAAAAATTGGTACAGATTTTTGAGTGGTGCACTGCTCCATACTAGGGCTAAGTTCTCCGTTTTCAATGGCTGGAATGTGTCCCAAGGCAGTGAGATCTCTCCCTTAAAACAGAGTCTTGTTGCGGTAGCAGGTGTGGCTCCGCTTTTGTCTGACCCACCTGTAACTGAGCCTTAGCTCCCTCTCTGTAGCTGTATGTGTGGCAGGGTTTGTGTTAAGTGATGCTCCCGGAGGTCACAAGCACTGGTGGAACACTGACTTGCCCCCAGCTCCTGCGTGCCACAGGTGCTGGCACGCTGCAGCTTCCAGCCTTAGGGAGGGCTGGAGAGCTGAGCTGCTGCTCTGCGTGGGGATGGGATCTTTCTGGGAGTCTGCAGCAAAACTGTGCTAAACTGAGACTTTTCGTTTCCTTTCAGGACTGATGCAGTGCCCCCTGGGGAAACCCCTCTGAAGGGTGGATTTGTGGCCAGCTAGTGGCTTCCTTGTGAAGAGGGCTTGGCACTAACTCTGTGGAGTGATTAGGGGTAGATCCCACAAGGGCTTACATTCTTTGGTACAAAGAGCATGATGTGGTTAATGTGAGGTGTTTCTAATACATGCTGTGTCGCAAGAGGTGCGTCTTGCCTGTTGTGCTGATTATACAGAAGATAACCTGGCTCACCATCAAAGCTGGTGCTAATGCACAACAGGAAGAATCATCTCCTGTGGCTGTGTCTAGTGTTTTGCACAGTGAAAATTGTGTGGCCCACTCTACTGCATCAGCCACGAATAAGGGCATGCAGGTCTCTGGCACTTGCTGAGAGCTGAAGTGATCATCCATGAGCTCACAAGATGCACATGTGGAGTTTCCTCCTGAGGCATGACCAGATCACCTGCTCATCAGCAGAGTTCTTTAGTCTGCAGGGGCTCACCTTTCAGAAGCTGGGGAAACATCTTCAGCGCTGATCTGTGTGAAGCAATTGATTCTTGTTTGTAGCCAGAATAGCCTGGCAAGGACTAAAATAGTACTTAGTTGGAATCAGTCCATGGTCATCAATACCAGTCCTTGCCAGTTTTCCCAGCTGTGTGGACAGTAGACCTTCAGCTGTTCTTGCTTGATTTCAGGGCAGTAGTGCATTGTCTTTTGGAAGCAAAAGGCATTCTTGCCCATCTTTTCTCATTTGTGATGTGATGGCCGAGGAAATAAGTACAAACCTGGTTTAAGTCTGTGTTAGTGATCAACCTTGGTTCAGGGTTATAAGGCCTGTTCAACAGAAAAGGCAACAAACACATACATCCACAAAACATACAGACTTTTGACATGCAGGATCCTTCTCTCTGTAACCATTTTTACAAATATGCTTGCACTTTCCTCACCATTTTTGCATCTCCAGCACAAAGCTTCAAGGCTTTGCAATAATGTCAGGAACCTGTATTGATTTCTTTTCTGAGTCATTTGTGCTCAGTGATAGATCATACATCCTGGAGACCAGGTTCACATTAGCAGCACTTTAAAGCCAACTTTTTGTCCGCAACACCTTCCCAGGTATGCAGCTTCCAGTCCTCTCGTGGCCCCAGCCTTCCTTGGATTCTAGGTTTCTGTACAAATATAATGGAATGCTTTGTCTTTAATAAAGCTACAGTGTGTACAATCTTAGTGTTGTGGGTTTTTCCTGCCTCTCCTCTGTGCTGGTGTACAAATTACCCTCCTTCTGGGCCAAGAAGGGTTGACAGTCATTTGGGGCACTGACTTTTAGTTCGTGTAGTTTATGGGACTGCTTGTGTCTGCCTTTGAGGACATCTCGGGCAGGTCCTTTCTGGGTCTTCCTGGAGGGAGGGAGGATGATGGACTCTAGTGCTCTACCTTTCAGAATATAGCTGCGTTTCATATCCTGTGGTTTCAGTGCTGTTCTCTTGTGCAGTGCTGTCATGAATGAGTGCCTAAGAGTGTACTTGTTTTATACAGAGGGACAGTATGAAGTGACAGGCCTTCTCCCAGCAGCAAGGTGTGACTTGTAAATGCTCAGCCTTTGAAAGGCATTGGGGATACAGCTTGTTGCAGATCGTCCTGTTTAGTATTCAACAGCAAGCTTTTCTGGTACAACTCTTCAGCTTTAGTAGCTCTGAAGACCAATTTATCTGTGCAGTAAAGAGATCTGACAAATTTATGGATGCTCAGAATCTACCAGCTGGTATCAAGAGAGCTCTTGGTTTTGGCTTCTGAGCTTGTGTTAGCATAGATAGATTGCTGCCATTCCCTGCTGTGCTGTGGGGGTGCCCTCCAAGTTTTCAGGCTGTGTGGACAGCTTTATTTTCTCTGCTCACCATGGAAGGCACGGTGCTGTTGCCTGTCCTCACTGCAATGGCAGGACTCGCTGCATAAGCACAGATACAGTCACTACTGTGCATGTTCAGGAGCTCCTGGCTTCTTGGAAGCATCGAGTGTGTTATGCCTGCTAATAATAGTACACCATATTAGTGTAGAGGTAGCACTAGCCCTGTGTTTTCCAGTATTTTCCTGTGATGAGGTATTCATTCTTTAGTATGGATGACCTACATTTGTGTCTTTCCTTGGAGGAAATGGCAAAACTGGTTTATGGGCGTATTGCCAAAATCTCCCACAGATGAGGTAGCTCTTCCTGTCAACCAAGGAATAGCAGATTCTCCAAGAACGGTATGCAAAATCTTGTCTTTGCTACCTGAGCTGTGTGAAGGTCAGTGTGTGAGACTGCAGATTCCTTCAAGAGGTGTGGAAGTCCTTCATATTCCCTCAATACTTTATGCCGTAGTTGCCTTTGAAGCAATAAAACTTTCTCTAACGTGGATGAAGCTCTGTAGATGATTTTCCCACCTGCAGTCTGCTCTGCCACGCTGTCTCTGGAGAGAGCATGCAGGAAGAATGTCATTGCTTCAGTAGGCTGACCGTGGCTCTGCTGTAATGTGCTAAATCTCTGAGTCTTAGAAGTGCCTAAAACTGCAAGTGCAGTGGTAATTGTCTCATCCAACAGGAAAACACACAAGTGGAGTGGTATTGGGATGGTTGAGAAGCTCTCTGCCTATGGGGACTTCATCATTATTATCTTTTGCCCTCAGGCTGTGTAGCCCCGTCTGGCATATGCAGGGGCCTCCACCACATTCACAGTTGGCCCAGCTGTCCAGTTTAGCGTAGTGTTTTTTGACAACCTGTTACACAGAGTTACTTTCATATGAGGCCATCTTCTTACCTTCCAGGCTGGAGGAAAGAGAATATGTTCATATTGTACCACAGCAGACAGGTTTTGTAGCAGTTGTTTCTGAGAAGGCAGGTGACAGTTCATTGTGGACTTAAAGACGTGCAGATGTGGCACTTAGGGACATAGTTTATGGTTTAGTGGTGCACTTGGCAGTGCTCAGTCAATGGTTGGACTCCATGATCTTAAAGGTCTTTTCCAGCCTAAATGGCTCTATGATTCTGTGATAAGATTACCTAAAGTCTTAAGCTTGTAGGGGTGTGCAGTAACGTGACTGACTTCATGCTCACTCCTAGAATCCAGGAGCTGGATCCCCTCTCGAGTTGGATGCCTTTGCCATGTTGCCATCATGCCTTTTTTCCAAAAGTGTCTTTTGTTTGGCACAGACAGGGCTGCTGTCATTATGTGATCTTTTCATTTGGTCTCCTAAAACTCCTGAGATTATTTTGATGTTTTCACACTGCTTTACAGCCCCTATCAGAACAACATTATGGTTTTCCTTTATTTAGATCTTTGACATAACAAACTATCATGAAGTAACACATTACTATGTGTCAGTTATTCAGTAGAAACTATGTGTGTATAGAAACAAGTCTTATTTTAAATCTCAAGTCTTTGATCTTTTCTGAAGCCAAAGAACAGTAGTTTTAACCTAGGCTGTCAGAATTTTTAGCCACACCATGGCATGCTAACAGGAACCTGTTATTTGTTGTCAAAATTCTCTTCACTAAAACACATCTGTTTCAGTGGCAAAGTATTCCTTATTCAAATGTTTGCAGAGCAGCTTTCTGGAGCTATAAATGTGTCCTTACTCCGAAGTATTAAGTGATCATGCCCATTTTCAGTGCAGAAAACAACTGAGCATGATTTGGGAACATCAGTAAAGGATTGTGTATGCATTGAAGCACTTAAAAGAAAACAGAAGTTCTCTACATTGTATGTGCATGCTCTCCTTGCATTGTCCTTTCACCCGTTGTATACAGCCTGTGGTACTGTAAAGTTGTGCAGCTTAGATGAAGTAGTTAAATAAGGTGCAAAATTCCTTTTACATAGTTGACCTAAAACATGGGGGAAGGTGAGGACATGCATGTTTTATGGCTATACTAGGGCCAAAATCTGGATGAGTTCAAGTGTTGGAGGACTGTTTCTCTTGGAAAGTTCATTTGGACAGTGTAACTATGCTGCAGTATGCTCAGAGGTTGCGTGGGGGGAAATACTGATTTCTTTCCTTTTTGACAGAGTCTGTGTTGATCACACACACTTCTGCCAAAACATAAAGAACTTCTTTAAGAAGATACCAGGATTTATATTTTCATGTGAAACCTTGTATATGAATTTAGGCTACCTTGAGTCAAAAAAGCCAGACTGTAGTCTTCAGCAGTGATTTTGCTTTGCTGGTTTATCACTTTGGTTTTACTGTCATGGCAAGAATACCAGGGGGTGTACAAGAGCTCTGATTCAGAGGGGAGGACAGCTTATCTTGGGATGCATGTTGTGCCAATTGCTGCCATTAGGTGCCTGGCCCCCATGCCTCTGTCAAAATCTCCTGCCCTGCTTCTGGTAGCAGCAGCTGAACTGCTATGATCTGACAGGGAAACTCTGTGAAGGCTTTGGAAATAAAAGTGTGCAAGCTCAGCAGCTGACACAAAGAGCTGAACCAGCCCTACAGAGGAGGCAGGGAAGGGATGCAACAGTTTGTAGCAGGAGCCTCTATAGCTGCTCCTCCCCTAAGACCCAGCCTCAAGTCACTTGGTTTTGTTTCAAGAGTTGTGCTCTGGGTGCTGTGATTATTGCACATCATGAAAAAATCAGCAAACATTGTGTTTGGAAGGCAGCACTGACATTTCACAGGCAGCTGTAGCAGCACTGCTGTTCCATGGGCCTCCATTTCAGTGGCCTTTCCATCACGATCTAAAATGGGAGGATACTGTGGTGGAGCTGGGGGTAGGAGGACAGAGCAGGGCTGCCATACTGTCCAAGGCTGATTTTACTCTGTAGTTCTCATGTGCTGACTGTGCTTGTCAGTCCCCGCAAAGGGCTGGACCTGAGGGCGGGGAAAACTGTCAAGCCCCAGCAGATCTTCATCAGCAGTTTGGAGTGGAGCAGCAGCTCCAGGCTGCTCTCTTCTTGCGTCGCTGCTTTGGTGCCATCTGTGCAAAGACAACTCGTAGTGAATTGCAGAATGCTGCATCCCTCTGCAACCTGACCACAAAAGCTGAACATCTGGCCTGAAGCTGCTTTTTGGCAGGATATGGGGTCACAGTTTCTGGTTTTGGTTCTCATTGTACATGTTACTGAAGCTATGCCTATTGGGGAGCATTGAGTTTGGTGGGGGAGGACAGAGGTAAAGTGTAGAAGGAGAAATGTGCGGGTCTTCCCCTTAACTGTCTCCTTGTAATGCTTGGAATGATCTTCTAGTGTACATTCTTCCTCCAAGCATCTCGCCTTTTGTATCTACATATAACATTCAGCGTTGCACTCTCAGTTGTGTCATGCTGGATTACATCCATGTCTAAACCACTCATTCACTTCACAAGGACTAGGATGTGAGCTGCATCTCATTGTAGAGCAAATAGAGTGAAAACTTCTGCAATCTTGCTTTCTGTCAGGAGACCCCCTACTTCATATGCACATGGAAATAAGATAGCACTCTGATCCTTGCTTGCTGATTATAGCAGCTTTCAAAAATCCTCTCCATGAAGGGAAATGAGGCGCCTTACAGGCTGGCAAATATCATTCATGCAGCCCTTTTCTAAACAGGAGGGAAAGAAGTGGCTCTGGAGTTCTGGATTTGAGTAAGATTTAAAAATGTACCATGTGAGCCTGCACGCTGTGCCATGAAGTAGCAGAAGTGTCTGCCCAGAATGCAAAACAGTCTCCCAGCAAGGGGCAGCACTGCTCCTGGAGAGCAACTCTCTTCTGCAGAGAGAAGAACTGCTTCATTTTTAAAATGTGATCTAGTGTGGCTGGAGCTGCAG